GTGACACAGTGTAAGCAACTAGAAGTCAGAACCCTCAACTCTAGTCCTACCTCCAATTCTAAGAATAGTCTGGCCTTTGTCTAGGCCAAATTCTCCAAATGGAAATTATGATAACTGGTTTAGTATCTAGACCTTGGGTGGCGTGAATAGTTAAATGTTTGACTGCTAACCAAAAGGTTGGCTGCCCAAATCCACCCAGAGGAGCCCTGGGGGAAAAAGCCCTACCAATCTGCTTCCAAAGGTCATGGCCTTGAAAACCCTATGGAGCACAGTTCAACTCACACAGGGTAGCCATGGAGTCAGAATATACTTGATGGCAAATGCTAGGTCATCTCTCCAGTTCATTCTTGCTCTAACATTTTACAAGCCTAAGATTTGTTAAAATGTGCAAAAGTGATGTGGGAAAGGCTACGGATTAAAACAGTTTAGCAAAATGTTACTAAATGTCAAAGTTGGTTGGTACATGGTATTCATTATTTTTTTCTACCATGGGTATGTTGGAGCTCTGGTAGTGTAGTGCCTAAGGCATTTGACTGCTAATCAGGAGGCTGGCAGTTCAAACCCACTGGCCACTCCTCAGTAGGAAGATGGGGCAATCTACTTCCATAGTGATACTGCCTCAGAAACCCAAGGAGGGATCGCTGTGAGTCAGATCTGACTCGACAGCACACAACAACACGGGTATGTTAGGGAGCTCTGGTGGCGTAGTGCCTAAGGCACTGGACTGCTAACCAGAAGGCTGGCGGCTCAAACCTACCAGCCACTCCTCAGAAGGAAGGATGGGCAATCTACTTCCTTAGTGATACCACCTCGGAAATCCAAGGAAGGGTCACTATGAGTCAGGTCTGACTCCACAGCAGTCTGGTTTGGTGTTTATGGGTATGTTTGAAAACTCCCATTAAATTAAAAAAAAAAAAAAAAAAAAAGATTTCTCTAGGAAACAAGATGTGAAGCACTGAATTCTGTTTCCTCACCTTTAAAATTAAAAGAATATATAAGGCACAACAATGTTGTGACTTTTAAATGAGATAAATGGTTCAAACCCACCAGCCACTCCTGGAAAGAAGGTTGGACTGCCTCGGAAACCCAAGGAGGGGTCACTATGAGTCAGATCCGACTTGATGGCAGTGAGTTAGTATAATAAACAAACAAACAAAATAAAACTAAACCAAAACCACTGCCATCATATGCTCCTATAATAAACCAAAAAAAAAATACTAAACCACAGTTGATTCCAACTCACAGCAACCCTACAGGACAGGGCAGAACTGTCCCATAGGGTTTCCAAGTCTGTAATCTTTATAGAAGCAGACTGCCACATCTTTCTATGGTGGGTTCAAACAGCTGACCTTTTCAGTTAGCAGCTGAGCATTTAACCAATGTGTCATCAGGGATCTTTTGCTCCCTAAATGCCCCTAAAATGTCATGTTTTTGCATTTATGCTTTTTTCCACCTCCATTATTTGGTAGTTGCTACTTTATTAGTAAGGCAAATATTAATAAGGCAACAATCGTGAGGATGAAGCAAAATTGGGTAGTGTTTTGTACACAGGATCATTATTAGTCAGACTTAATTCAATGGCACCTACAAAACAATAATCACATTTCCCCTATCCTTATTATTTGTTTGCCACAGTAAAATGCCTATTAAAACTATATCTAATCTGCCTACTATATCTATTAAAACTACCTCTAAGCTGCCTACTAGTAAGAGCCTGAGCAAACACACCTACAAGTACCTGCACTTTTGACGTCTGTTTTGGCAACCCAGAGATTCCATTAGTTTCTGGATATATTCTGGATAGCTTAATAAAAAAGAAACAAATAAACAAGCCACAGTTGTGGTCCAGTTGATTCCAAACAAATAGCAGACCTGTGCTCCATACCTATATGGTGAACAGTAACACCAGGGAGGTACACACTCATTAGAGCAATTGACCATGTGAGATCAAAAGGGCAGCATTTGCCCAGGGATAAAGCTAAGGTAGCAGGAAAGGATAGGGAAGAGGGACTAAGGAAAATGGTGAACATAGAGAAAGTGGAAAGAATATTGTTACACTGTAGGGATTTCTCAGAATCAATGTTACAGAATGAAATGAGTATGAATTGTTGAATGGAAAACCAATTTGCTCTGCACATTTTCACCCTAATCACAATTTTGAAAATTAACAATAAAAAAAGTGCTCCACAGTTTTCACTAGTTGATTTTTCAGAAGGTGATCACCAGGCCTTTCTTCCTAGGTGCCTCTGGGTAGACTAAAACCTCCAATCTGTTTGCACCATCCAGGAACTCCTCTGGTTAATTAAGATACATTTATTCTACAACCATTAACCACTTACTATACGGAAAGCCAGAGCTTTTCATACAGGTAACTGTGAACCTCTACTGAATTGTAAAATTAATTTAAGTCACAACCAGCATTTTTTGTAATGAAATCAAAAAGAAAACATATAGTATGAACTAGTATTGTTCATGGGGAAGCTCTGGTACCATACTTCATAAGGCATTTGACTGCTAACCAGAAGTCTGGCAGTTCAAACCCACCAGCCACTCACTCCTCAGAAGGAACACCACACAATGCACTGCCGCAGAAACCCAAGGAAGAGTCGCTATGAGTAGAAATCGACTCAAGACAGTGAATTTGGGGTTTTTCTGAGTATTCACAAGGAACTGTGGTAGCGTAGTGGAAAAGGTATCTGGCTGCTAACCAGAAGGTCAGCAGTTCAAACCCACTAGCTGCTCTTTGGGAGGAAGAGGCAATCTACTTCCATAAAGATTTACAGCCTTGGAAACCCAGTGGGGGTGTCTGAGTCAGAATCAACTACATGGCAATAGATTGGGTTTCAATGGTTTAGTATTCATGAAATTTTTTTCCTACTTTTAAGTGTACATACTAAATCACAATGTCAATCATATTCTTTGTTGCGGGTTGCAGTCAAAAAGTTTGAAAGCCAACAGGCAATATGCTAAACTGAGCAGCCAAATAAGCAACCTATTGATAAAGGAGGTATGGCTAAACAATGTAGATGTCTCTACTTCTCCATAATTGAATCATTGCCATCAAACTTCAACTCATGGCAACTCCATGTGTTTCAGAGCAGAACTGCACTCCATAGGATTTTCCAATGGAAGTAGATCACCAAGTGTTTCTTCCAAGGCACCTCTGGGTGGATTCAAAGCACCAACCTTTCTGTTAATAGTTTAACATTTTGCAACAATGAGAGATTTCATGTACCATAATTTAGTTACTCCTGTTAGCGTAGTGCCTAAGGCACTTGATTGCTAACCAGAAGGCTGGCGGTTCAAACCCAGCAGTCACTCCTAGGAAGGAAGATGGGGCAATCTACTTCCACAGTGATAGCGCCTTGGAAACCCAAGGAGGGGTCGCTATGACTCGGGTCTGACGCAAGGGCTTATGACAACAACAATATGCAACAGGAGCTCTGGTAGCATACTGCCTAAGGCACCTGACTGCTAACCAGAAGGTTGGTGGTTCAAACCCACCAGCCACTCCTCAGAAAGAAGGCTGGGCAATCTACTTCCGTAGTGACACCACCTGGAAACCCAAGGAGGGCTTGCTATGAGTTGGGTCATATTACAACAACAACATATGCAAATAATGGGAGTTCTGGTAGTGTAGTGCCTAAGGCACTTGACTGCTAACCAGAAGGCTGGCGGTTCAAACCCACCCGCCACCCCTCGGAAGGAAGAAAAATCAGGCAATCTACTTCCATAGAGATACCACCTCAGAAACCCAAGGAGGAATTGCTATAAGTCAGATCTCATTCAATGGCAGTGAGTTTGGTTTTATATGCAAATAATAAGGAATCTGCAATCAATCCAACTTCAGATACAATTCTAGGTTTTTCTTTTCCCAATTCATAAGAAAACATCTCATTCATTAATTCATCAAGTTTTTGCTGAATACACACTATGTGCCAGGTACAGGGATTACAACTAGTCAGACATGGAGCTTACAGGCTACTGGGGAAGGCAATTTTAAAAAATAAAAAAAGGTAACTAAATAAAAGCACAAACTGAGAAATACTCTGAAAAAAAAAAAAAAGTGTGCTAAAGAATAAAGGGAAGGGGTCACTTAATTAGGGATGAGCATATTTTAGATACTTCAAGGATCACCTCCCTAAGGAGCCTGAGATCTGACAGATAAGGGGGTCAAAATCAGTTCTGGCAAGAATGAAAGTAAGCCAAAAAGAAAAATGATGGTAGGAGGTGTCCGTGTAGAGGAACAGCTCTCAAACTTTTGTTCATGTGGATATTTATTAACATTTACCAGATTAGAAATTTAAAAGATTTAAAAAAAGAAAGAATATTTAAGCACATATTCCATTGGCCACCTGACATCTTCACATGTCATATAGCCTCTGGAAAACACAGTATACTACTGAAAGGAGGACAGTGAAAAATACAAATAATTCTCAGTATTATTAATGAAAATAGTTTTGACCCAGGAATCCCAAGACCACATTTTGAGAACTAATGCTCTAAAATGCATGATAATTTTGACCCCCAGAAAGTAGACAATGTATTTTCAAAATTTAACTAGAAAGTCTCAAATACACAAAAAATGATCTATTTAAACTAAAAAGACAAAAAAGTGCCATACACCAAATCATACTGCCACAAGTGACATTCTTACATCAGTGTCTGTAGTTTTTTTTCCATTTGTTTTACAAACGTTTTGCTATTAGGACCAAAATTCCTAAGTAGAATGTACCCATTACTGATGAATACCTCTGGAGTTTACACTAGAATGATTTTTAATGTTTGAATAAAGAGAACAAATCTCCTCAAATTCTTTTGTTGTGAATGTTTTACCATCTAAGGATCTCCACAAAAGTTTTCTAAGTAATCATGGGCGAAAAAAAAAAATCTCTTCAAGTATCATCTACCTTTCATGGGGGGGGGGGGCACTTCCAAGTATCATCTATCTTTCTACATCTAAGGAAAAAAAAAATTACTTTATCAGAAAGTAGTCTTACCTAAAATTTGGGATAGACGCTCTATCAAAATCATTCATGCTTGTACAACTAGCGAAACTACCCGAAGGAGCTGCCTCGATATCTAAACCTTTTCTGTCCTGTTTCCACCTATTGAAGATGCTGATAAGGAAACAGTAACAGATTGTTTTATTAGACAATGAGTTAATGTAAAAACATTACTTGGGATTATTTTTTAAGAATTCTTACTTTCCAAAACGCCGTACCGTTATACATTCTTTCACAAAGGTGACTCTTTCAGAGTTTTTTTTGTAATGGGCTTGAAATCAATCCAAAATTGTCAGAATGACCCAACCCACCACCAAATCTATAAAGACTATTCCTAAAAGACACTATCAGAGTGGGGGCGCTCTCCTCTCCCTAGGACATAAGGCCAGTTATATCGTTTAAAATGGCCCTAATACTTTCTGCAGACTCAAAAATGGAGAAAACACAGAAGTTCGAGGATAAGTAGGATGTGTACACTGGACATAAGGAAACGCGAGAAGGGAGCGAATGACAATAGGGAGTGCAGGTGGGAGAAGCGAACTGAATGGGCCAGACACAAAGACAGCGAACCAGGAAGAACCCACTTCTTCTTTGAATCGGAAAGGCCCTACTCTCTAATACTGCCCCTCGCAGTTCCTACCCACACTCTTCCCGTGAGGGGTGTTTACACGTACCTCCAGCTCCAGCTCCTCCGCCTGCTCCCAGGGCGGCCGCCATGGTGCTTGATGGGATTGGCCTTCAACCTTGCCCCACCAAACCAGCTGGTGGGCACACGGGCCTGGTTCGGAGACCAGGAAAGGGTGTAACAGGATGGGGGCGGGGAGGGGGTTGTGGGCCAGGAATGGGTGGGAGGGGGAGGAGAAAGGAGAGGCCGGGCGGTTTGTCGTCCACACCGGCCCCTTTTCCTCCGCAGGAAGAAAACAACAAACTATCTCAACATGGCCGCTAATTTGGCTCCCGCCCCCGTCGCAGCGCACCCTGGGATAATGGAGGTCTGGAAGTCGGTGGGCGGGCCGCGAGTGCGAAGAATGTCTAAAGCTAAGGTGAACCCGCAAGGGGCGTGGAAACGGGAGAGTTCCCGGGCTTGTGAGTATCAGAAGCTGTCTCCTCCCACCCAAGAGCGCAGGAGCTCGAATTTTGTTTCCAAGCGAAGCAAAGCGAGTGTGAAAGGAAAGAAAACGGTCGCCAAAGCTGTTGTTTACTACCGGATGGCCTCCACTGGGCTCCGGAAAATCAAATGTTTAAAGAAAGGGGAGGAGGCTGTTGTTGGCCGTACTTTCACTCAAGGGTTCTGTCGTGAGCCGTTTTGCAGCAGTGCGTGTTGGGCTTTACGGCTGGCGTTTTTCCTCTTGGAAGTAGGGAAAAGTAGGCCTTGGGTGTGGATTGGATTTCGTTTGGGGGTATGTAGTGTGTATAGTAAATCCAGTTCCTGTCTTTCAGTTGGAAGCTTGAGATAGAAATAACTACAGTCGTGGACGTACAATATGTGTATTCAAAGGGAGGAAAGGAAGCTTAACAGTGCGTGAATACATATTTCTTCAAACTGGGATCTACCACTAATAAACAGTTGAGCACAAAACTGAGCACCAAATCCCAGAGATTTGGTGCGTTTGGACACGAAGTCTGTATATTAAACTAATTCCTTGTTGGTTCTTAAGTACATTTATTCAGCACTCACTGTGATTGACTTTTTTAGGTAATGACGGTAACAACTGAAAAAGACAAACATCTTACCTGCCTTCAGTTTTTAGTTTATAACTTTGAGGAGTAAAAAATTTTAAAATAAGGTATTAATAAGAAAGTTGGGGAGTGTAGTGGGTAATGAGACAAGAATGATGAGGGAAAGGGCTACTTTGGATATACTGCCCAAAAACGGTCTCTCTGAGTTGTTGGCAGTAGATCTGTGTTTGTGGAAACGTAATTAAGTCTTTACGTACCACAAGCTACAAATTTTGACTCAGTAACAATGAATGTAAGGATTATGAGGAAAAGAAAGGGTCATTTTCAGGGAAGAAGAGATGTCAAATCACTTGGTAAGGTTTGAGAACTGCAAATAGTACATTTGGCCCCTAGAGTATTAGGTGAGGAAGGTGCTCAATAAGCAATGGTTGGAAAGAAAAAGACCAGAATGCATAAGGACTTTTGGACATTTCCATAGAGAACATGGAAAGATTTTTAAAACAAGTTTCATAATCAGATTTGTGTTTCCAGAAAGATGATTAACAACATGCAGAGGATGGGCAGCATGGAGAGGTATGAAACTGGTGTAGGGACACCTGTAAGTAATTGAAAAAGCCTTGCAGGCAATGGATTGGGGGATAGATGTTATTAGCTGTTGTGGAGTTGTGGTGACTCCATGTGCTGTTTGAATCACCAGCTGCTCCATGGGAGAAAAATGTACAGTCTGCTTCCATAAAGTTTACAGTCTTGGAAACCCTATGGGGCAGTTCTTTATCCACAGGGTCTCTATGAGTTGAAATCAACAATGGATTTGGTTTTTTGGTTTAATCTTTGAGGAGGCAGTCCACCAGGCTTTTCTTCCCTGGAGCCACTGGGTGGATTCAAACTACCAACTTTAGTTTAGCAGCTGATTGCAAACTGCTTGCCCCACCCAGGCTCCACAGAAGATAGAGGCGTAGAGATGTAATGAAATAAGCATAATAAAACAATAGTGGTAGACTCCTGGAGGCTAGAAAAATGTTTACTGTAAATTGCTTTTGACTTTTAGATACGTAAATTAATGTTCCTGGAGTTGATTTGACTCATAGTGAGCCCTCCTTGGGTTTCTGAGGTCTACGGAAGTGGATTGCCTGGTCTTTCTTCCAAGGAGTGGCTGGTGGGTTTGAACCTCCAACTTTTTGGTTATCAGCCAAATGCCTTAACCACTGCACCACCATAGCATCAATAAAATGTTGGAAAAAATTAACATACCTAGATTAATTATGGGAGCTCTGGTAGCATAGTGGCTAAGGCACTTGACTGCTAACCAGAAGGCTGGCGGTTCAAACCCACCAGCCACTCCTCGGAAGGAAGATGGGGCAATCTACTTCCGTAGTGATACTGCCTCAGAAACCCAAGGAGGGGTCGCTATGAATCAGGTCTGACTCTACGGCACATAACAACAACAACAACAACAGATTAATTACTACAGTAAATAATACACTCATTTAAAAAATAATGATAAAAGCCAAAGGACAAAAAAAAAAAAAAATGTTTTCTTTTGATTCGGCCTTCAGAAATCACTGCCAAAACTCAGATACTCTGTGACCATGTTATACATGAATAAAAGGAGCTTTGGTGGTGTAGCGGTTAAAGCATTCAGCTGCTTTCTCTAGCCAGTCAGCAGGAGAAAGATGAGGCAGTCTTCTGTAAAGGTTTATAGCCTTGGAAACCATTTGGGGCAGTTCTACTCTGCTTTTAGGGGTCACTATGAGTGAGAAACGACTCAACAGCAACAGGTTTGGTTTTTGGTAATACATGAGAAAGGATAATTATCTGAGTTACGAAGCACCTAAAACAAACTTCTCTAGGACAGTGTCTGCATTTTTTATCAAACACCCAATGTGTTGTGGAGTGAATTGTGTTGCAAAAAAATACATGTTGAAGTCCTAACTCCTGGACCCCTGAATGCAATCTTGTTTGGAAATAGTTTTCTTTTGTTATGTTGATGAGAGATAAAATTTAGTATGGTTCCTAAACTTAATGCCTTCTGAATAGTGTCTTATAAAGGGAAATACAGACACTGAAAGACACAGAGGGGAAAGAGAGATGGCATGTGATGATAGAGACAGGTACATCTATAAGCCCAAGAATACCAAGGATTGCTGGCAGCTACCAGAAGATAAAAGAGACGAAGAAGGATCTTTCTCTAGAACTGATACCCTAATTTGGACTTCTAGCTTCCAAAACTATGCACAAATAAGCTTCTGTTCTTTAAAACTACCTACGTGTGGTATTTTATGACAGCAGCCCTACTGTACTAAGATACATTGGAAAAACTGAGCATGTACATCTAATATTTGAAGATCTATTAATAGATCAATGTGAGAGAGGATTAAAAAGCCCCTTTTTCTTCTCTACAAATATCATTCACTTTAAGATAACTTTCTGTTACCCGAGGAACGTGATGAAGATGAGATGTCGACTGTGTTACAAATCAACATTGCTTGTGGTAAAAATGACCTTTGATTTGTACACTGTATTTGGCTTGAAAGGACTGAGTAATATTTAAAGATCTGGTGGGAAGCTGTGTGCCTTTAGGATTCCCTGAGTGTAGTGAATTTTTTGACTGAATGTATCCCTTGTAGAGACCTCAAAGATAAACTGAAGGAACAGTTATGAGAGATTCTGATTCTGTGGGTCAAGAGCTTCTAAGCCAGTTCAGTTCCCATACCCTCATCTTCTTGCACCTAGTTACATTTGGGGAGCCAAAGAATATAGCTCCTGCAAGCCTATATTCACTGTCTGATTACATTGAATGTTTCCTCTCTACTACTCGAAGTGGAATTCCTGACAATTGTGGCACTATGTGAGTGCAAATGTTCTGTTAAACCTAACGGAACTTCCTAGTGTGCACTGCACTTGCATATATGTCCTACTGAAAAATCTTAAAAAAGCTTCTAGTTTTAGATAAAAATTAATAAAGAAGACTTTGGTCCATATATTGTTGTGGGTGTGTACCATTGAGTTGATTCCAGCTCATTACGACCCTGTGTGACAAAGTAGAACTACCCCATAATGTGGCAGAAGAAGATCAGTAGGTCTTTTCCCCCGTGGAGACATTGATGGGTTCAAACCACCAACCCATTGGTTAACAGCCCCTCCAACTACAAAGCAGATTCTACAGAAAACATTTGTTTTATTCATACATTTAAGAAATTAAAGCAAATCTCCAAGGGATTGAGATATTTAAAAAAAAAAAAAAAAACAGTCAACACCTGAGCTACATTGAGCATACAAGAAAGAGAGGGTTTCCCCAAGGGAAGGTACTCTTTTTAGCACTGCTATTAGGAAACAAATCCTTAGGCTTCTGTTGAAGTAAGAATATCTGAACATGAAGCTCTCAAAGTAAGCCTGGAAGGGCTTCCTCAAATTATGCTCCCAAGTTTCTCACATTTTAAGATCAAGAAATATGAACTCATAATCAAAGATCACAAAACACTCAAGGAAAGAAATCATTGTAAGTGAGAGTCAGACAAAATAAAAACTATAGATTGACCCCATCACCACCACCAAAGACCTCAGCTATTGGAAGTATCAAGAACAAAAATATATGAAATGTTTAAAGAAAGAAAAGATGGAAGTGAGAAATTAGGAATTTGTTCAGAGGGACCAGACAACTCTTCCTCTTCCCTTCCTACTCTTCCCTTCTTGAAAAATTTAGTCCTAAAGTCATTAGGTGGGGCAGAACAAGGTAGGTATATGCACTGGTGGTGGCATAGCAGGGGGAGCTATGGTCCAGATCACAGTATCAGAGCTCAGGCATCTTAAGTCCCAAGCCCTGTAAGTAGGCTGTCCAGCATAGAGTGTCAGAGCTCAAACAAGGTGAGGATTATATCACAATGGGGTACCCAACTAGAGTGGGGAGTCAAAGCTTGAGCAGAATGAGGAGGGCATTCATGCACATAAGCAGCTCAACAGCCTGAGCAGGATACTAACACATCAACCTGAAGTGTGGCCCCAGCATGGGGATTTAGGGTTCTAGTGGGCTGAAGTGG